TTCAAATAGACAGGTTGCAAGCATAATGAGCAGATGCATGAGCATCATCATCATCGTACAGCGAAATACCGTGAAGCGAACTTCACTGACCTCTGCCAAAGATGCATGAGCGCCACCAGCCATATCGCTCAGCATCTCTCACCACCGGTTTCCATGATGTCGAGGTCCCTATCAAGGGAGCCTATAGGGACCTTTTTGACCCAGCATCCTGGTTAATGTTTTCATATCCTCATGCTTGGTCCTAGTTTGATCGACCTTAATCTTTCTCGAACTGCTACCTGTCTCGACAAACATCGCTCGCCGTGGCAACCTATCTAGTGACATGCGTAACACATGCCCCAACCTGCGCAATCTATGGAGATTGACCATTTGCTCCAGTGAACGATCACGATTACCTAAAACTCTACGCCTAACCTCAGCATTGCTCGTTCGGCTTCCCCACCAGACGCGTGCAATACGATGTAGACAGTGGTGTTTGGACACCGACAATCTACTCGTATTCTGTTCCCGTAATGGCCAAGTCTCTGCACTGTAGAGCAGCCCTGGCCGAACTGCCGCAACATATACTCGAACCTTTTGGATCTAGGAAATTAGAGATGGTGAGTCTGCGGAAGGACTGTCTTTGTTTCAGGAATACGGTTAGTGAATCCTCACGTGCGGCAGACAATCGACGGCAAAGCTTCGAGGCAATGCTGTGATTTTCACAGGAGGATCTAACTCTTCTTTTCAATCGGTGAGCTGATTGACTGACACTTCTCGTCTGGAATTCATTTGCTTTCCTAATATTGATTCAATGCGTTTCGTCGACTCCAGGAGTGAATCTCCATTGGATATAGACAACCCATTCGGACCAAAGTCCTTATAATTTTCGAGAAAACTGATTTCTCGATGGATCTCCACCTCAAAAGGATTAGCATCAATTGGTCGCAGTTGCACACCGCAGGCAGAAGTTGACAAATCTCTTTTCGACAGACGTCTGTTGAATTTAGCCTTTACGTGTTCGACCACTGTTCCAAATGGCTTTGTTTATGTGAACCGGTGTGACGTCGATCTCCTACTTGTCTCACTTTAGCTTGATCTCCTCGAGCCTGTACTCGCACTTTGATGGACAAGATTGCGGTTGTTATCAACAGTCGCAACTTTTCCTTCTCATGAAACGTTTCCAGTCACCACTTCTCTCGATAATTCATCAAGATAGAGATGAGTAAGCTTTTCAACTATTTGCGTAGTGTTATGTTTCGTATCCGCAGAAATGACTGTGTGAGCTTTTAAGAACGCAACAGTGATTAAGGAAAACGATCGCTTATGCTTCAGTGGTGTACCCGAACCCGTCTTTTTTCTCTTCGCTGGATTTGATTAACCACCATTGTTTATTGTTTCACACACTTCTGAGTCCAAACTGTGCGCCAAACGAATCTCGGTATAGTAGTCTTTATAAAAAGAAAAAGTTCCATCAGTTCCTCGTGGGCACGATACTGATAGGTTGCCAAGGTCAAAGCGGGTGAATCCGTAGCCTTCGGCTATCCAAAGCTTGACATGCAAGGCAGCGGTGCGATGCGTGAGACCGCAATCCGTTGGAGGCCGGTGTATTTGTGTGTTTCACTTACGGATGAATTCAGACTGCCAGACAAATCATAGTACAGACTGTTGGGCCGGCGTTCAGTGCATCGGATCGTACGCCCTTTGGACGGGGTCAAAAGTCCAAGGAGTTAAATACACCCCAATGCCTGATCGAGTCTGTGACCATTACCACAACCAGGAATGTGTGTATGTGTGTGGTTCGTACGCCTCCTCATGGTTGGTTTGGAATCAGGGCTTTTAGTTAACTGCCCTTGGTGAACTACCAGTGACTCACCAACACAGCTATATCCCCGGATGTTGACTTTTCGTCCTCTCACTGTGGTAGAAAACACCTTCACCACGGGAAAGCAGTGAGCAGGGCTTCCTCGGTACATGCTATTTGAGACGCCTGGTCTTTTAGTAGCATTTCTCAAGGTGCAAGGATTGGGTGACNCCAGCCACAACCCAAGACACCCACCCTCCACCATATTGAAGCTTTCAGATGTGGTCACCAACGTTAGTTGAGTCCCTCGTTTGAGAATCGAATTGAGTGATGGAAACACTTCGCTTCTAAAGCCGATTTACAGTTGCCGCTATCCTCCGTTTCCGGTAGATCTATTGCCCTGTAAGAAGAATCTGGCTCATGTCATAATAGGATCGACACCGGCGGATGGTGACCAGTGGGTGTCAATTTTTAATTGATCCCGGGGGCGGTGACTGATGGGAATTTGATCGATTTATCTATTGCCCTGTAGGAGTCACATTCTTGGTTGATTCTTATACGTTTAGTTGGCGCTGGAAGGTAGCAGTTCATATATTTGAAGTGATTGTAGAAATCCCCATTGCAGACGAACTGCAATTCGATTGAGGCCTAATGTGATTCATCACCCCCAATATGAAGGGTTTTTGGCCATCATAAGTAAGCAGCACGCCTTCTTCTTACTCTTCTTTTCACCACATGGTGTCTGGTCAATAAAAAACGATGGATTTGTTAAATAAACACTTAGGTAATTTAGAACGTTCACTAATTTCCTCTCCCGACATTTATTTTACCAGGTCAACCCGACCGGATGACGTAGAAAACGAACCGCCGCAACAAGTCCAACGTCAGGACAAAGCAGGTAGCCTACGAGATTCAGGTTTGATTCTCGATGGTAAGGTGGCTAGTGCTACGCACCATTCTTTGAGAAAAAGCACCCAGGAACTTGAAAAATCACGTGACGTCTCAGACGTAAGTATGGAGATCCCACTGCTTTCTCACCGTTGAACGAAAATCTTTCATTTGAGAGTGCGTTCTTCGTGAACTTGGCAATGTAAAATGTTATACCTCCAACATTCAACTAACTGCCCATAAGACAACGGGATTCCATGAGTTTAGCCACCAACATGGAATGATTGCGCCTGGATATAAAAAAATCAGATGAAAACCTGTTCTCCTGTCTCATCGTCATGTGCATTCTTTCTTATCGCATACGATCCCATAGTGCACCATCCATGCTACCTAGTGACTCAATCTCACCGTACAATCGGGTATACCAAATAACCTGTATTTCATCATTTTGACCAGTCTCAACAAAGCGTATGTATGAGAACGGCAGCGAGCCACCTCACCAGTTTTCCATCATCGTGACATTCCC